GCTAAACATCTAATGCCTCTAAAATAAACTATGATCACTATAAAGGTCAGTTGTTGTTGAGCTCTAGGTGTCCATGAAAAGTTTCTATATTTGCCCTCTGTACATTTGTTTTTCTGACAGTCTGCCCAGTATTTAAATGCATTCTGAGAGAAGGAAGAAAGGAAAAGGGCCTGGTGGTTATGACCTAAAGAGAATTGGGTGTAATTGAAAACCTAAGGTCAAAGGTTCTGCTGAAAAGCTTGTGAATGTGACAACTCGAGAATGAGATGATGTAGGATTTTGAATTGATACCATAGGTGCATCTACTAAAAAATGTGTTAAAAGTATATGTATATATTTTTTTCTACAAGTAACTGATTAGTAATGACAGTAACATGTTTGAGGTAGGTGCCTGGTACTAAGAAGCTATTTAAACAATGACATTGTTCATTCCATACAAAGAACTACAAACTGACTAGTCCAAGTTTTGTTCAGTTGCCAAAGAAATACGTGTCATTGCCAACTGCTGCACCCATAAGAAAAAAAACAAAGGGGAATAAACCCACAGCACCTTGAACACAAAAACATGAAAAGCACAGTTATACATATCAATAGTCTTCTGAGGCATGAGAAACATTAAAACATAAAGACAATAAAATCTTTCCTCAGCTTTCAGCAAACACCCAACTTTTTTAGCCATTTGTTAAACTGTATTGAAAACACAATATTAGCACATAATGAGCTCAGACTCACTGCAAAGACTCCTAAACGTTACTTTAAAAAATGAAGCAGCTCAACTCACACAGACCTTCCAAAGCTAATATACACCTCTGCATGCAAGCCATTATTATTTGAATTGGATGCTCTTTGAATCCTGTGATAGACTGCAGACCTGTCCAGGGTTTAATCTGCTTCTTGCAAGACAACAGACAGCAGTTCTTATCATCTTGCAAGAGGCACCTCGCCCCTGGTGGAACTGAACTTTATAAAGATAAGATAAGTCTTCACTGTCATTGCACAGTACACTAGTACAACGGAATTGGAAACTCCCTTGTCAGCTCCATGCACAACACAACACAAAACACAACACAGTAACTTAACTTAAAGTGGATTTATAGGTTGCAAGGAAGGTATGAACAAAGGAATGGCTTAATAAATGTATGTTTATTGCAAGTTGACTACCAGCTCTTTTGTCTTGGTGATATTGAGGTCCAGGTTTTTGTCTGCACACCAATCCGACAGCCTCTGAACCTCGGCTCTATATGCCGTCTTGTCTCCCCCAGAGATGAGCCCCACAACGGTGGTATCATTTGCAAACTTAATGACTGCGTTGTCAGGGTGGGTACTAACACAGTCATGTGTGTACAGAGTGTACAGTAGGGGACTCAGTACACAGCCTTGTGGAGAGCCGGTGTTAAGGCTGAGGACTGGGAAAAGATCAGGCCCCACTCTAACTCTCTCTACATAGTCTGAGAGGAAGTCTCTGATCCAGTGGCAGGTGGTAGAAGGAGCTCCAATATCCAGCAGTTTTACTATTAGTC